TCTCTCTCTCTCTCTCTCTCTCTCTCTCTCTCTCTCTCCTTCTCCTTCTTTTCTGTTTTTTCCTTTCATTCTTCTTTCTATCTTCCAATCAACCAATCAACAAATAAATCGAAATCGATAAGGAAGATGATTGATTGATTGATTGATTGATTGATTGATTGACTGATTGATGGATGGATGGATGGATGGATGGATGGATGGATGGATGGATGGATTGATCGATCGATTGATCGATCGATTGATTGTGATCGATTGATCGATTGATCGATCGATTGATGGATGGATGGATTGATTGATTAATTAATTAATTAATTAATTAATTAATTTATGGATTGGGGGCGATGGGTGTTGACGCCGTAATTGGGGACGGAAGTCGGGATCGGTGCAGGGAAGTCGGGGGAGGGAAGTCGGGAAGTCGGGATCGGGGCAGAGCGGCGGGAAGTCGGGGGAAGTCGGGGGAGGGAAGTCAGGGGAGGGAAGTCGGGATGGGGAGGGAAGTCGGGAGTCGGGAAGTTGGAGAGAGCGGTGGGGATGGGGAGGGACGTCGGGACTAGGGCAGGGAAGTTGGGGTATGGAAGTCGGTGGAGGGAAGTCAGGAAGTCGGATGAGGGAAGTCGGTGGGAAGTCGGGGGAGGGAAGTCGGGGGAGGGAAGTCAGGAAGTCGGGATCGGGGCAGAGCGGCGGGAAGTCAGGGGAGGGAAGTCGGTGGGAAGTCGGGGGCCTTGAGATATCATATGTGTGAACGCACCGGCCCAGGTACATTCAGAAGAGTATTTTAACTCATCTGATTCTATATCATCTGTGAACCCACCCCTGCAGGTACATTCAAAAGTATGTACATAACTCATCTGATTCCATCGGGATTCGGTACGTTTTTTTTTTTTTTTTTTTGAAATAAGGCCGTTGCGCGAGACCTCTATCCTGGTGGTGGTAGGAGAACCACCGGGATTGAGGCTTTGCCTAGCAGGCCGCTCCATCTATTGGTGGGGAGCAGCACCTGCTGGAAACCAGGTCCAGCGTCCCTTAAGTACATCTTTGCAAAACAATACATCAATGCAGTGACGCCAATGTGCTGGAAACCGGTTCCAGCATCCCATATTCAATCTATCCATACCCGACTGTGGGGCAGGCTAGGTAGGGATTCGATACGTTAACCCCCCCATATTCACTCTTCTCCCTTACATACCACAACCGTTAATCCACGGTGCTCGTACTCCACCCTCTCTCTCTCTCTCTCTCTCTCTCTCTCTCACACACACACACACACACACACACACACACACACGCACACACACACACACACACGGTCATTCTCACCAGAGTAGCACGCCCGTCCGTTTTGCTCATGGTGATAAAGATGAATATGAGACTCCCGATCCCGCCATCGTCATCGTCACCATCATGATGAATTCGGAGAAAGAGGGAGGGGTTCAGGCTTTGATGAAGAATTGAGAAGTCGTCAGCTTCCGAAGGTGGGGTATGATGAAGTTCTTGATGATGGCTTGATGCTCCGCATTGCTTTGGTATGCGCGATACCCATCTTCGTCCTCAAAGTCCGCCACGACTGCCACGTGTGCGTTTCCCGAAGGGACCAGACCTGCATCCCGACCGAAGGTGTAATCCACAAGTTTCACTTCGGCCGCTGATGCCCTTTTCAAACTTTCAAGCTCCGTCAGAATGTCCGCGACGGCGCTGTCAGGCGTCCTGCGAGAGGTATGGAAGTCGGTGGATCGAAGTCGGGAAGTCGGGGAAGGGAAGTCGGGGGAGGGAAGACGGGGGAGGGGAGTCAGGAAGTCGGCGGAGTCGGTATAGTAAATATGACCACACACGCGCACGCGCGCGCACACACACACACACACACACACACACACACACACACACACAAACACACACAAACACAAACACAAACACACAGACACAACGAATATGACCACATACACACACACACACACACACACGCACACATACCCTACACACACAAACACGAACACACACACACATACACAGCGAATGTGACGACACACACACACACACACACACACACACGCACACAAAGCGAATGTGACGACACACACACACACACACACACACACACACACACACACACACACACAGAGGGCAATGTATTCCTTGGCAGGTACATTGATCCATATGGATCTGTGGTTTGCCAGAATGTGACAAGCATGTTCATCCTTGGTTTAATTGGTTTGGTGTGCCCCTGTTACATTCCCAGTTGGGCAATGTATGTAAAGCCAAGGATCCGCAATGTGATGAAAAGGACTGAATGGCCAATGCAGTGCTAGAGGAATCTCAACAACCAGTGTACATCCTGATATATACAAGAATGGCACATAATAGCGCAGTGCAAGACTTAGATATAAGACCTGACCTGACCGGGACTGACTTCTCTCACGTAGTACAAGACAGCGCAGCGGAATGTGGCGGCCTCCCAATCCCCGACTAAGCCAATCAAATAATCAATCAATCAATCAATCAATATAAGAAAATTGATCGTTTGATTCGGACCTACAGATTGCGATCTGTTCATCCATGGCTGGAGGCGGGCACCACCGATGTTCACTCATTCATACAGCCAATCAATCAATCAATCCTTCAACAGATCAATCGATCGTTCGGTAATTCGATCAACCAATCAAACAGTAAATCAATCAATCAATCAATCAATCAATCAATCAATCAATCAATCAATCCGTCAATCAATCGTTCAGTCAGTCACTCAATTAGTCACTCAATCTGTCAATCAGTCGACTGGTCAATTGATCAATCGAACAATCAACCAAGTAATCAATCTGTCAATCAGTCGATTGGTCAATTGATCAATCAAACAATCAATCAAGTAATCAATCTGTCAATCAGTCGATTAGTCAATTGATCAATCAAACAATCAATCAAGTAATCAATCAGTCGATCCGATCACTCAATCAATCAACCCACCAATTAACCAGACAATCAATCAATGCACTAATCAACCAATCAACCGACGACTATCAGGCAATCTATCAACCAATCTTGGATGATCGGTTGGTTGAATGTTCGAATGATTGATTGACTCTTCAACCGGGTGATTGATTGTTGGGTTGTTGTTTGTTTGATTGTCGTACAGGTCTGTTCTCACACGTCTAGCGGTTGGACTCGTCCACCACTGAGGGGAGCATACGGCCTCGGATAACACTTTCCCTCCTCTTTTTTGCGTGTTTGGGCAGAGGCTTCGAGGGTGGGGTCTTTAGCGTGGGCGAGGAGGGTGTGCCGACATGGCGGGGAGGGAGGCCAGAGTTCGTACTGAATGAGGAGTTTGAGAACGATTTGAAGGCGAAGCACGTGATTTGGAAATACATCCAGAAAGGGCAGGTGTTTGTGAGCCCCACGGGAGCAGACCCGAAGGGCAATTGCGAGTTGCGGTGTCGATTGTGTGGCCACCGGTGGGTTGGCAACCAAACCAAGGCAAGTGCACACTTCAATACCACACGCGAGCATGACAGGTATCTGCACACGTGTGTATACATAATGAGGGAGTTGCAACGCGTGGGCGTCGCACTTAAGGGGTCCCTCCCTGTCTACGTGAGGGAGGCGGACAGGGATGGCGAGCTCGATTTCGAGCATCCCCTTAACTGGAGATTGCCCGGCGTCACGGTACGAGAGCCCCCCCTGGTCCCCGTGCGCGACTTGGCTCGCGGAGGACGGGGCCCACAACGGCCGGACCGAGCAGGTCAGGCAGCAGAGGGACGACGACGTGGAGCAGGCTCCTCCAGAGGAGCGGGCCCGTCTGGAGGAGTGGGCCCTCATGATGAGGGCTCGTCGGAAGTGCAAAACGAGGGCAGGGGAGATGGTGCAGAGGGCACCCTGACGAGACAATTTGATCCAATGGGGAAGAGGGTGTGTGATCCTCGCGGTGCTGTCGGGCCCACGAGGGCATGCCGTGAGGCGGAGGGATCATCACGAGCTCCACAGGACGAGCAACAGTGGTGGAGGTCGAGGATGCTACAACAGGCGAGAGATGAGGGCATTCAGGTCCCCGCAGACCTCGAGGAGGGGCTTGCGATTGCCCCTATGGAGGGTAGACAGGCTCGTCACCAAGTGCCGCACCTGACTCAGACTCGCCTGGATGAATGGGTTCAGCACCCCATCCAGTATGACCTGGATATGGCCTGCATCCGATTCTTTGTGGGCTGCAGTGTGCCATTCAACATCGCCAGATCGGAGTGGTATGTGGCGCTTCATGACGTCTATCTCAGTCAGTTTAGGGGTCCCTACAGGCCGCGTCATCCACAATACGAGTTCCTGCGGATGACTCTGTTGTCCATGTTGTACGCAGAGCTCGACAAGCGCTTGAGGTATCACCGTGAGTCGTGGTCTGAGGGGGTCACTTTCATGACTGACGGTTGGTCGACTCAGGCCAACTGCCCTCTCTGCAACTACTTGGTTGCAAGGAGGTTGGGGGCATCGCTCTACCGGGTGGAGGATATGTTTGCCAGGGAGAGGACCGGGGCAGGTTTGTGCCGCAGATGGAGGGAGCTCATCCTCGAGATCGGTGCAGAGCATGTGGTCGCCATATGCACGGACAACGCGTTAGCCAACAAGGAGGCTTACCGTTTGCTCCGTGGCGACCMCGATGAGCGACTGCGCCGCATCACATRGATTCCTTGTGCAGCTYACTGCTGCAATCTGATGCTRACGCACATCGCCAGACAGCCRTGGGTSGCGSAGGTGATYGCAGAGGRACGRGACATCACACTGTTTTTYCGGCGCCATGCACGGGCAGCGTACCTTTTGAGCCGACAATCYCYMACTGTATCATTGATCCGGTCGGGAGAGACGCGGTATGGGACCAACTACATCATGCTGCAACGCATGGTGACGTTGCATCGGCCTTTGGATGCATGTGTGAGCGGTGTCGCCTGGGCGACGTCCCCGTGGCTCCCTGCGTTGAGGGACGACGCACTCAGGTGGTTCGACCTTCTTCGCGATCCGCGGTGGTGGCAATAGGTGGAGCTTGTGCACTATTATGGAGCCAATTTACGAGCTCCTGCAGCAGGTCGATTTTGACGGGCGGAGAGTCGACGATGTATGGGGATTGTTTGAGTGCCTGCGGATCACGGTCGACAGACTGTCGCTTGATGAGGCTTGTCACATGCCCATCAAGAAGATAGTTAAGGAGAGGTCGGACATGCTTTTGACCCCCATTCATTGTGCTGCGTACTTGTTGCACCCCAAGTACCGCAGCATCGACCTTTTGATGCGTGGGACGACAGAGGAGCGCATTCTCCAACTCGAGTACATGGGGAGCCAGATTGAGGGTGGTCGACAGGGCCCGCTGATGACAGTCGTGTGGAGTTCTCTGCAGGACTTCCACGGCAAGTATCCCACACTTGCTCACTGGGGGGGGGACATTGGGGATGGGAGCGTGGAGGAGCCCGACTTTTATCCTGTGCAATGGTGGAGGGTGCAGGGGGCCAGTCATCGGGTGTTGCGGGACATTGCCATGCGCTGCTTGGGTGCGTGGACCACAGCCTCTCCGTGTGAGAGGAATTGGTCGACGCACGACTTCGTTCACACGAAGAGGCGCAACAGGTTGGGCGTTGAGCAGTTGGAGAAGCTTATGTTCTGTCATTGGAACCTCAAGCTTCTCAAGAGTAGTCACGCGCGCTGGGGGGTTTATCGGGGCTGGTCTCCCCAGGGTTGGATTGACCGATGTTGAGAGGAGGGCTGAGGACTTTGCTCGCTACGAGCCGGACGAGATGGCTCCTGGGACGTACGGCCCGGTGGAGATCGAGAGGGAGGCCGGCCGCCTTAGGAGACAGCCGAGGGGCAGACGCTTGGCGAGGGCTGCAGCAGCACTGGCCCACCAGATTCGTCACCAGGGCGAGGAGGCGGTTCAGGGGGAGGACGTTATTGATGATGATGTCTCCAGGTTGACGGAGCCTTATCGAGGATACGGGTTCTTAGAGCGGGAGGCCCCTGTGACTGTGAGCCCTGCGGGTCGGGTGCTCCCGCCACGAGCGGCGAATGATTGTGCAGGCGTCCCTGCCGCCGCGCTCGCACCGGAGGCAAGCTCCCACAGCCTGCCTGTGGACGATGCAGACGACATTTTGGGCGGCACCGATGGAGACATTGCGAGCGTGGGAGGGAATCGCGCAGCGAGGGCCGCTTGATCTTCCTTCCCTCGGTGCACAATTGTCAGCGTCGGGTGCAGTTGGTGAGACTGGTCCATCTCCATGCACGGCGGCGGACGCCGAGGGCACGTTGCCCGTCGCTGCCGCTGATGACACAACGCCTGCGCCTGCCACCTTTTCGAGCCCCCATCGTGCAGTGGAGTGCGACTGCGAGGGGAGGATCAGACGACGACCAGGTTTCGTCGGTCCGCTAGACTGGTCGGCAACTTCAACCATCCACCCGGACGCAGAGAGAAAATTTGGCAGCATACTTGTCGAGACCGTTGTCGGATCTGCCAAGAAAGGACCCGGATGCGCAGGCTGGAGGTGGGGACGGTGGACAGCCTGTTGCCGGGGGGGCTGCTCCTCGTGAGGGAGGCTTAGACAGAGAGGAGCTCGCCCACGACGTGGCGGCTGCCGGGTACTCCACAGAGGAGATCAGGGAGGCGTTGGAGGGGTATCCCGGGCGAGATAGACGAGGCACGCCAACGATTGGATGTTGGCCGCACACGCGCCTCCCCGTCGCTCCCATTGCCACCTCCAGATCCCTCCTTGGCATAGGACATCACAGGCGCGGGACCGCATGAGGCTCCCGTGACGTATACGCAGGTGGCCGGTGGAGAGAGCAACGGTGTACGGGAGTGCGACTCCCCGGGGACGGGTCTTCGCCATCCAGTTTCACATGCTGGGGTCATCACTCGGACGACGATGCCACTCCCACCCAGAGATCCGTCGATTGTCATCGAGCCGCTTCGACCATTCGTTGGTCGCAAGCGGAAGGCAGGTGGTGCCCTTGGACATGAGGGCGGGAGAGCTGCGGGTCGAGGCCGAGGGAGAGGCCGACCGCCCGGACGAGGGAGAGGGGAGGGACGAGGCAGGGCTCGAGGAGGTGGCGCATCGACACAAAGGACACCTGCAGGTGGGAGAGGGGATCACGCACGGGCAAGGCGGCATCATCATCGACGGGCGAGGGTGAGGAGGGGATAGCGTAACGCCTCACCAAACGGCGTAGAGCAGATGCACCGACGACGACAGGACCCACACCAGCGTCGTCTTCGGGCTCGAGCACGTCAGCTTTGTCTTTGGGCTCGAGCACGTCAGCTTCGTCTTCGGGCTCGAGCACGTCAGCTTCGTCAGGTGACCCCGATTTCGATGGGCGAGAGGAGGAGGAGGGGCCAGAGGGCGATGCAGAGGTCGACGAGGGAGAGGGGGATGTGTCAGGGTTGCCATGTGATCAGGTCCTCACATGGGGTTATAACAGGTCAGCAGGGTGTTGAGGATTTTGTTGCTGCACACTGTCAGGATGTAGGACGGGTCAGGAGGGGGTTCTATCGGTCGTTTGACTCAAAGGGTCGTAGAGCTCCTCTTTGAGTGGGAGCGGTGCTCGGTGCAGAAACCTTGGCTGTGCATCGATCCATCAGTTGGTTTGTCTGTCCATCCGTCTGTCTGTTCTCGAAATGTAAACCGTCTGTCAGTCCGTCTGTGTGTCAGTGGGTCTCTGTCTGTGTGTTCGCGGGTCAGTTTCTATCTGTCTGTCAGTCTGTTTTTTTTTTTTTTTTTTGACAGAACTTCCGTTCCTGGGGAGTCACTTACCGATGGTAGGCTTTTGCTTYTGAAAGCAGAGATGCAGAAGGCAGTTCATCAGGTAGCTTTGAGGCATCAAGGCTTGCACATGGCTTGCTTATCAACTATCATTCCATTGCCAATCGGTTGGCAGAGTTTTCGAGTTCCCTGTATCGGATTTGGAGATTTGTTCCACCACAGACTTGCAAAGCGTTGTCCTTCCCTTTTTCTTTCTTTTTTGTCTTTGAACAAGACCTTATGGATCTGCCTTCGTTCTATTCTGGGGAGCATCAGTCGGGTCACTGTTGCCCTGGCAAGTCATTGTGTTACGGTCCTGGCCAATTTCGAAGTCCACAATCATCAGGAAGTACAATGCTGTCCAATTGCGAAAAGAAATGAACGAACTTGAGTCCAATACCATCCAGTTGCAAAGAGAAATGAAAGAACTCGAGAGGAGAGAGAGGGAAAGAAGAAGAAGAAAAAGTAAGAAAGAAGAAGAAGATGATGTACTCCAGCTTCAACATGAGGTCCACCATAGCCATGGCCACCTTCTTCTTCCTCCATCCTCATGCCTGGGCTATGGCGGACTACTGGGGCCTTGCCCCGATGTCCAAAGGACAACACAAGCAGCTACAGTGCTGCTCCCTTCCTCTGACCGAAGGACCACACAAAGCAGCTATGTCGCTGCCTGCTGCTCTGCCATGCCAGACTCTGCCCGAGCTTCCTTGATGCGGCACTGCCCCACCAGGGACCTTCCAGATGCAGCGCCTAACAAGGTGATGAAGATGGTGTCCACTCGGGCGGTGACTTTCAGGCCGCTCGGCCTCCCAAGCAACCAGTACCTCCTCTGTTCCGGAGGGAAACATCATTGCAGACCCTGACATTGCCCGTACAGGCTCTGGACTCAGACTCGTTGGACTGTTACCGGCCTAGACCTACCCTACCGCTACTGGACTCTAAAAATGTCAACTTTGTCTTCTTCTGCTCGGCCTACAGTACCCCTGCACGCCAACTGCAGTGGGGTGCGGTATCGGCCTATCGGCCTACTTGAGTGTTTTCCCGCTACCCCAAGGGCCACGGGGCCGCCAGCTTCGCCACTTGAGTGTTTCCTTGGCTGCAACCCTCAATGCCACGGCCACAGGTAAGTACCGGCCCTACGGGCCTGCCAAACGAGCAAGTACCCTTCCGGGTCACACACACACTCACGCAGACAAGCACTCAGACAGGCACACAAGTCCACAGACACGCACGCACACAGACTTAGGAAACACAGCAGAATGCGGGAATCTCATCCATTCCACCAGCAGAACTTCAGAAATCAGCAGTGTTCTCAGTCTGTGTTATGACGGGTCATTACAATTGAAAAAAAAAACATGAAATGCCCTCTCACACAATGCCTCGTTCCGTCTCGCCGAAGGACCGCTTATCTTTCTAATCTTTGCATTGAGGAATGATTGGTAGTGGAAATGCCTTTCTGTTGTTGTTGTGTTTTGTGTTATTTTGTTTTGTTTTGTTTTTAAACTTTCAATTTCATCAAAGTTGTGCGCCCAGTGCCCAAGGCGGTCTGTCGATCCGTCTGTCCATTCTCGAAATGTAAACCGTCTGTCAGTCTGTCTGTGTGTCGGTGGGTCTCTGTCTGTGTGTTCGCGGGTCAGTTCTATCTGTCTGTCAGTCCATGTCAGTCTGTCCGTCTGTCTCTGGGCAGAGGTGTAGAGTTTTGAACCCGCAACCTCAGACCACACTGCGCATTGACAACCGGTGCCCTAATCACTCAGCCACAGGTCACTCACGGAGAGTGGCCATCCTAATCTTCTCTGTATCGTTCCAATTTTAATGATATGTCGATTTAAAAAACGAAGAAAATTAAGACTGTCTTCTCCTCATATATAGGGGACAGCTRTATTCACTACACTCTCAATAAATTTTTCCACCTCACACTAGCTAATTCTGTTCTCACAGTAGACCTCATGCTACCTGCCTACCTACCCAAGGTCACCAGGGCAGGGGTGAAAATCTCCTAGCATGGGCTGAGCCTATCCCCTCGACCCCTAGCACGGGATGGAAGGGACGAAGGCAAAGCCCCTTCCAAGACCAACCAGGGTGGGGCAAGCCAACTATCTCAGCTGGTGAATCCGAATGGATGACGTGGGGAGCCGAACCCGTGACCTCCTCAATGCCACTTGCGTGCTCGTGCTCTACCAACTGAGCTAGGCCTCTGGCCTGTCATAGACAGCGAATTGTTTTTCAGTCAGCCAGGAAATCACCATGACTACATGCATGCACCTCAGATTTTCCCATCCCACCCATCTTCGCGCAGACCATAACACGGACCCTCTGATGGGCACTCGCACTATGAAGGAAGGCATGATAGCATTAAACTGCGCCAGATAGTTTAAAAGCCCACTTACGTAAGGCCATTTACCATCCCCTGATGAGCACTAACACTACGAAGGAGATACTCGGTGAAGGCAGATCCGCACAATCAAAGCACACACGGACCCTCCTTCTGCAAAGGCGCATCTATCAGGGTGGGCATTAGTAAGACCGTCTGTCAGTCTGTCTGTGTGTCGATGGGTCTCTGTATGTGTGTTCGCGGGTCAGTTTCTATCTGTCTGTCAGTCCGAATCTGTCCGTCTGTCTGACCATATCATCGTGTCTGTCTGTCAGCCTGCCGAAGGTCGGTTGGAGGGGGGGGAGAGGGGGGGGGGGGGGGGGGGGGGGAGGGGGGAGGTTTTTATTTTTTTTTTCGATTTTCTGGAATCACAGGCCCGGAGGCCGATCTCCGCAACGTGACTGGCTGGTTCTCGGCCCAAAAAAAAACAGCGATTTCACCCGGCGTTCGGCCGAACGCCGGGCCGGGAGGTCCCGAAAGTGCGGGCGTTCGGGTTCGGGGGTTCGGCCGTACCCGAACGCCGACAACCCTATATATAAATATACATATATACATATATATCATATATATGTATATATATACATATATATCGTCAAATATATGTATATATATATACATATATATGTTTGTGACGATATATATATATATATATATATACATATATATGTTTGTGACGATATATATATATATATATATCAGACCTTTCTTTGTTTCGTGGATGTTTTGCTGGCTTGTGATGGGGT